AAGGGCACCATCATCATTGAACAGACGACAGTTCAACCTGGTCTAGAAGCAGCAGTGTTAGCTTTGGGCTATTGAATAATTCAGATGATGAGGTCCCTTGCTTTTGTGTTGCAGGAACCAAAAATGAGCCCAATGTCTGATAATTTTAATGAATAACATTGTAATGTGTTGATTTTAATTTTAAGCACCGGCTGTTTTGACACTTTTTCACAAACTTTTTTAAATGTTCAAAATTATCGAAGGTTTTAAAACTGATAGATATCGGGCAATACTATCATATCTAAAGAAGAAACAGTCGCGGAGAGAGCGGTAAAGAATATCTTTGAAACGAACGACTTACCGATGAATTGCCATGTGTAATCAAAGAAGCACACTTGTTTTATTCTTCGTTTATTAAAACGTTGAAAGAATTCCTTCGTACGTTAATACATGAATGGAGATGGCCAAAGCGACGATTTACTTTGAAACGATAACGGCTAATTATTCATCCACCCCAGCATCGATTTGGACCTCAAAATTTTTGCTCTCCTTGTTTATTATTTACGAAAATCAGTTCTAGTTCGTATAACTTACTTTCAAACACATTCCTCATTTAACAACCTTGTTAAACCAATTATCAAACCATTCAATTGATGTTTAATTCTGATGAGCTCGAAAATCAATGATCCGCTACAAAAACCTTCAATTTCGGTTTAAAAACCGGTTTTCGGCAAAATGAAGTTTTGCTTAGATATTCTAAATTTGTGCTGGCGAGGAAAAAAGTAACATAGTGCTAACTATTGCATTTAGATTCAACACACTAAAAATTTAATACTGTTGTTATTTTTTCGTCGTAAGTATTTGACAAAAAGACGAACAAACAACATCTGCTTAAACCAAAAATGAGCTCAAACAATCTTATCCTTTCCAAGTAATTGTAGCTGCATTTACAAAATGTCTACGGTGCCTTTGGCGTTTGCTTTCAGAAACTAAATCTTCCAGTAAAATCAATGTAATTTAAACAGGAACAGCCGGTTGCGTGCAATTACCACTGAATGTTCTGACCACATTTATTTTAAAAAGCTAAGGTGCTTTAACACTAGATTTTTTTTCAAATTTAGGCCGTTCTTCTGCGCTATGCGAGGGAGAAAACAGAAGAACGCCTAGAACTGCCTTTCAAAATTTAGTAACGAATTTTGAAAAAATGTCGAGTTTTTCAGGTTAGACATGACAGTAATAGTTTTCAGTAAGTAGTTCAATAATCAGTAAGTAGTTTTCATTTATTAAAAAAATGTTTTTTGATATTTTCAAAAACTAATTTTCATATACAAAACAAAATTTGCTCGACATTAGATTAATAAGCAAAATTTTTAACAGGTTTTTCCCCGACAATGAGAAAAAATTTTGGAAATTTTTGAAATTAGTTCGAATCAGGACTAGTATAATATATCAGTCGACTCATTCTGAGAAATATTTATGGTATCTCATTCTGCGTGAGAGAAAAATAAAACACCGCAAAATAAAATTTCTTTCTAATTTCATTGTCGGGACATGAAAACATTTTTACCGTAGAAAAAAAATTACAAAGAAAATGGTCTCGATTAGATCCTCGTTGAGTAAAAAAAACGTATTATAGTATTACTATGAATGTGAATTAGTGAACGTGAAAGTTGCTTATAAACAAAATTTAAAAAACAACAACGAGATGAATTAAACCGCAACAAAAGACGAGGTAATCCATCAACGCTGTTGATTTCGAAATTTGAGCAATAAAAACTTGATGCTTTTTAAAACTAAATTAGTCAAATCTCCAAAATTTCTGGGTTTCAGATATTCGTATTTTTTAAATCATAAAGGAAACCCTCAAATGACCGAAAACATACAACTGCACACTTCATATTCTTAAATAATTTCATGCGCAAAATCATCAAATTTATAAATGGGATTCACAACCCAGCGTTATTAATTTTAAAATAATGATGACTTTGTCTGAATTTAATTTTTACGTTTATTGAAAAATTTGAAAATCATAAAAAACCAAAAATCAAAAAATAAACCGATAGCATTAAGATGAAGGCCACATCTGTATATGCTGGTACTAACCAGGCATCACCCCACAAAAGGGTCGACATTTTAAAATTTTGACATCTAATACTACTTTTAAAAATTTTCAAAAAAAGACAAACGTCAAATCTAAGAAAGTAAGGTGCGTTGAGCAGTAACAATTGAAGTCCACATAAACATCCTGAGAGTACCTTGAGAGCATCCCGCTACAGTGTTGAGTATTTCGAACTTCGTGAAGTTTTTTTATAGATCTTGAGTTTTTTTTTGGAAAAATTTGAAAAAGCATGAAAAAAGGCATTTGACGTTGATTTTAGAAAGGAAGATGATTTTAGCAATCAGATTTTGAGACAAAAACTGCAAACTCGGAGAGCACTATGAAGCCCCCTCACTTTAGGGTTGGGAATTTCGAATCTTGAAAAGTTTTACTGTAATTCAAGTTTTTTTAAACACTGAAAAATATTGACAAAACGTCAAATCGCGGAAACAAAGCATTCTAGCAGTCAGCTATCCCAGGGAGTACCTCGACAGCAACTTACACTATACAGTGGTTGCTGTTAGGGTACTCTTAGGGGTTGCAAATCTTGCATCAAAATATGGCTGCTTACAAGCTTGAAGTTACCGAGATATGACGTTCCTAATGATTTTTTCAAAAATTTTAAAAGATATCATATATAAGTCCCTATAAGACCCCCCACCTTGGGGTTGAAATTTTTACTTAAATTCAAGTTTTTTTTGAAAAACTTTGAAAAATATTGTTATAACTTCAAATCTTGGAAACAAAAAGCATTCGAGCAGTCACTTTTGGAAGCAAGAATTGCTATCCCTGGGAATACCTCGACAGCAACTCACACTATATAGTTGAGAATTTCGTTTTGTCACTTTTCATATGATATCTCTGAAATTTTTTGAAAAATCATTAAAATGTCTTACCTCGGAAACTAAAGAACTTGAGCAAAAAATTTGGAGACAAAATTTGTAATCCCTGAGAGTACTCTGACAGCCCCTAACTACAAGATTGAGAATTTCAACGTTTCCCAAGTTTATATAATTGAGTTCTTCAAAATTTTTTGAGAAAATCATAAAAACGTCATCTCGAAAACTAAAAGAATTTGAGCAGTCGTATTTGGAGACAAAATTTGCACTCCCTGGGACTACCTTGACAGCACCCAACTACAGAGTTAAGAATTTCAACGTTTGTCAAGTTTACATTTATAAGTTCTTTGAAAATTTTTGAAAAAATCATAAGCAACGTCTGATCTCGGAAACTAAAAAAACTTCAGCAGTCATTTTTGGAGGCAAGATTGCTGAGAGTACCCTGACAGCGTTGAAAAAATCACAAAAAGTCCTAAAAAGATTTGGTTTTTTAAAATTGGAGGCCAAACTTGCAACGCTTTAGGGGAACCCTGACATCATCCCACTATTGGGTTGCCATTTTCAAACTTGGTGAAAAAAACACTGAATTAAAACTGGAAAATCATAAATAATTTCTTAACGCTTGCAATATATGATGTAGCTTAAACGTGAAAAATTAACATGCAAAAAACTTAAGCATGGCGAGATAGAGAATCCCGCATTTCAAATAGATAATAGACAAGGCATGAAATAAGTATTCACTGCCAGCATGAAATAAGAAATCACAAACAAGCAAGTAGGCAGACTAAATTTGGGTAAAAAGCCCGTTGCGCCAGAAACAGACGAAAGGCACGAAAAATTTCTGCTAAGAGTCAACCCCTTAACAAAATTTACGAAGCGGAAACAGGGCCGACTATATTTGAGCAGACACCAGTTGAGCAGAAAAAAAAATAATTTTGTAAAAAAAAAATTTGATAAGTTTCAAGTACCCCCTGAAATTACTGTAGTAACTAGAACCCACCCGGTAGTTAAGTTTGCATATTCATGAAATTGAGCATGTCAGCTGCATAGTGATTTATCAGTGCTGCATAGCTGCGTTGTCAGAAGTGATCAACTGATTTTGTTAAACTAGTTAGTAACCCGTTGCTTTTTTCGATAACAATATTAATTTTTTTCATTTGAAGCAAATTGTTTCTTATTTTCTTCATTTATTCCCTAGATTTTCTTCATTTGAGTAATCACCTCATGGTAAAAATGTTATCTCTTTCTTTAATGATCTACAATTAGATTTTGGTATTATTGCTCCGACCAATGAAAATGGGGAGGCACTTTGGGTTCGAGTGCATTTTAGTTTTCTTTTTTTTTCTACACAAAATCAGCTTCAAATAATCATCGGAGTGAGTAGAGTGATACATCATACACACATGCGAAGCTCCGCTTCGCAAACACCAACGAGAACACAACAAAAAGCTCTATGAAGAGCAATAAGAAAAACTAGAAATAAGCCTCGAATTAGTAAAAATTCGGCTACGTCTCGGATTCGACCTGCGACCCAGAAATTATGAGTCTCACGCATTAAAAACTCAGCGACGGACGCTTCATAAATCACAAACACTAGCCAAAAATGAAGCAGACAACAAATACTATGAAATTTCCAATGCTACACATCGTGATTATAGCAGAAGTGTCACCAAATAAGTGAAAACTTTTAATGAATACTTTTATCTGCGAGTGCGGCTAATAAAAAAGAAGGTCCGTACTAATACACTAACGCTCCATAATTAATTTCATTGAAACTTACTAATTTTTCTTTTCTTACAGACATTTTTTTGCATTGAGTGGATAATTAAATCGGTTCTACCATTCGCCAAAGGTTCCAAGGCAAAATCGGTTTTTTTTTCACTTCCACAACCCACCCTCCCACCCACCCATCCTCACTCCTTCCTCAAATTTTCCAATTTCATAGATGTCCCTCGAGTTATAATAACTAAGCGCGTGATGTTAAGATGTCAAATATGAAGAATAAATATGTTCACAGTATTTAATTTGATCACAATGCAAAGTGCCAGTGCATTACGTCATTGCATATGAAAACCATGTCTTACATGAAGAGCAAGCACTTTCCCTTGAGCAGTTCCCAAAACATTGGCTTGTGTTTTTTAAACTTGTGACCAAAATGCACACTGTCCGCAGATCCTTGTTGTCCTCTGCGTCTTCTAGACATCGGTTAAGCTTCTAGTTAATAACCACCTCATGAATAACCGCTGCTGAGAAGGTCGAATGAGTGGTGAATTTTATGACATTTAAACTAAACTCTGAAAGCAGGCCAGCTCATAATTGAGATTGGACAAAGTTGACATCCCCCCTCAAAATTTAGGGTGGAGGATGTTAACTTGTTCTGAGTTCAATTTTTCAGCCAATCGAAAAAGGACAATTTACATGCTGCGCTTAGTAAATTTAAATTAAATTGAATGCTGGGATGGATGATCTTTACTTGGTCGATTTTTAACTACAATGCGAAGGACCAACAAACGAGATATTCAGCTCTTTCGGGCTGTCAAAGAAACGCCAAAATATTTCGGCTGTCAAAGAAACGCCAAAATATTTCGGCTGTCAAAGAAACGCCAAAATGTTTCGTACGGATCATGGTGAGCTGAGCTCAACGCAAACATTCCGATTAAGAGGCGAAGAATTAGTCGAAACCGCTCAACAACATTCAGCAACACAAAGGATCAAAAAAATCTTCTAGTAATGAAAAATTCTTATAATTGAAGATTGAAAACAGCTTTACGAATTCCTGCAAATATTCATGAAAAATATTTGATAGCTAATTTTTTGAAGTCTTCAACTCGTTTCTTTTTTGAACTTGTTGGCGTTTTACCGCATTTCGCTTAAATTGGCTAAAAATTAAATTTTGATGCGTTCTTCGATCAATTTCATTTCAACCAATCATATTCGAGTGTTTTCATTTCTGCCAGCATATTTGTAGATTTGCGAAATCAGGCCGAGTAAATGAAAAAATCCCATTTTCGCGTACGTTTTCAGCATTGTCAAAACCAGTTTTCAAACGGTGTTACAGTGCAAGAAAATATTCTCTCTAGTTCAGTTCTTTTTCAAAATCCTCCCAAATTTTCTCTTCCTCTTTTGTAGCCATTTTTACTGTTTCGTAGCCAAAAAATTGACGTCAGTTTTCGAGAAAAAATTGTGATCCGAGTTGTGCTACGTACGTATTAACCGGCAGTTCATGTTTCGACAATTTGAAAAATGGGGAGGAACTTTGTATTCGGGTGTTTTAATTTTTTCTTTTTATGCTTGTTTTGCATGCAAAATCAGGTACAAATAATCATTGGAATGGGTCGAGTGATATATCAAACAAAAGCCTTTTCAGTCGTGATTCAAACATTTGAAAACTTCCCAAAAGTTGTCCCAGTATTGAGCCTAACAGGTTTAAAATTTTTGATTTTTAGTCTTAATTCGAGCCAATAAAGCCAGCGAGCAGGCTTACAATAGCTTAATTCAAGCCGTCACAACTTAGCCTTACTCGAGTAAAGTACGTTTTTGTTTTAGTTTTTAGCGCCTTTCTGGAATAAAAAAAACTTTTGAAATGATCTTTTTTTTTTAATTTTGCTTTGTTTTTCTAGACATTTTCCACAAAAAAATGTTGTCCAATTTACTATGACTGTCGAATATGCATAAGCTCTTACTTTTTTGTTCAGATCATTTTATCACACCTCGCAGAAAAACTATAATTTGAAAAAATATATATATTTGTTGTATATTTTTAAGACTATGGTCGAAACATTCTGTGCTACTTGCACAGAAACCGGCTACCCTTGTTTTTACTTAAAATATTTATTGATTCGTTTTTCATGACTTTCCTGGAGCCCATCAACTGAGCAAACAGGCAATTGATCCTTCAACTATGCCCCCCATGAAAAACATTAGAGACAAATAAACTAACAGTTCAAAATTAACAGCAAAATGAGCTTAAATGTTTTCTTTGTTTAATTCCCACGCACAGCCATAAAGATTAGCGGCCAAATCTCATTCAGGCGGAATATAATCACTTGAGCCGAATGTAAGCGCAGCACACCAAGCTTTACTTATTTTCGTTTACGTGACTTTCGATCGCAGCAGCATCCAAAACTGTTGTTTCGATTCCGTATCAGTCTTCAAGCCCCGATTTACTTCGTGCTATAATAGTATTGTACAAGAAAATTTTTCTAGTTTTTGTTAAAAATCTGGTATGGATTATGAAACTTTCTTCTAATGCTGCTTTCAATTTTTCTGTCAGCTCAAAATGAATTTGTTAAATACCGATGGCAAAAGCAAAAAACAAGAAAGATTACGATATATTGACTTTTTTTCGTCCGGACACGTTTCGAAACTTTAATCCCTGAAATAAAATTAAGAGAATTAGTAACCCATCGGTTATCTAGATACATTAACTGACATCAAGTAATGAATAGCATTTACGTTCAATTTCAGTCCTCGATTTAAAATCTGCGTTGTTAGGAAAAAGAATTCAGCAACGATAATTGAACGTCATAAAACTACGCTGCAAAATTAACGTTCAAAAATCACTACCACTATTCGAAAAAACGTAACCAATTTGAAAGAACTGCGTTAAAAGGTAATTTATTGGGAAAAAAAAACAGCCTTACGTATTTGATGATTAATTATCAAGTATGCTTTGCATGTGGTAATGCTAAAAAACAGCCCCGATTTTTTTTCCCGTTGAGTTTTTTTTACTGCCACTTAACCACTAGACGGTGGCTCTGCGATAAACAAAGTGTTCTTTTATTAGCGTGCAATAATAGCTTTAATTAGGTTTTCATAGATCAAAAACGATTTGGCCTAAATTATAATTTATTTTTGAAACTCAATTGATTTGTTAAGGGAATTAAAAGTTCACCATCGCTCTAATAATTATAGCCAATAGACTGTTGAAACTGTCAATGAACTCAACAAAACGGAAACAAAGACGACTCGATATTTTCTGAAACAATTTAAATGAAAAAAATGTGGCCTGATTCTCTTCGAATTTTAAGAATCTTTCATGATTGGCAAATTTTGAAAAAAAAAACTACACTGATTAGCAGAAGGTACTCTAAAACTATTTTTGTATTCCACTGGAAAATCTAAAAACTAAAACCCAGGGGCGGATCTAGGATTTTCTCGAGGGGGGGGGGGGCATCGGATTTTCAAAAAAATTTCAAATTATGTAATTTTGTCGAACTTTTTTTTAGGTCGACCAAAATTGATTTTCCGAGCTCTCTCAAAGCACTAAATAGTCAGTTTTGGCAAAAATTTGAAAAAACAGGCCAAAAACGGTTTTTAGTCACTTTTTGGAATTTTTTTTTTAAAGTCGCGTTTTTTCGACGCGCGTTCCCCTCTTAAAATTAGTATATTTGGGCGCCTTTAGAAAAAATTTTAGGGTCCGTCAGCCAAAAATGGATCTCTCAAAATAGTTAAAAGGAGGGACCCTTTGGGTGATCGGTAGGCGGTCGAATCCCTGAGCCCCCCCCCCCTAAATCCGCCCCTGCTAAAACCCTCCAAACTAAAAGTCACTCACAATTTTTCACACCAATTGCACTTTCCTTTTTGGAAAGCGTTATTTGCATACATCAAAAAAATCATGACGACCTAAAAAAAAGCGTTTTCACTGTGTTCAGTGACACCTATAATATTATCCGCGAAGTGCATGATATTCGCCTCTTGAAAAAGCCGGCGAATTATGAGCTTAATTTTACATGCGTATACTAATAGACACATGCTAATAAACGGTGCCCCCAATAGACTTTTATAAATTCAAACAGGACTACTTGTAAATCAGGGCGAAGAGTCATACGAAATTGATACGACCAATTAGCTAGCCTCAATTCAATTTGGAACGATTTTGTTGTGCGGTAGAATTCGCCACGCATAAATGCAAAGCGCGCATAAATTAGTCCAGAGCATGGCCAAATTGGCAATTTCCAAACCTTTGAAACTTTACACAGAATGATCAGGGGTAGAATTTTTTTTGTTTAATTTGATTTTAGGGAGTTGATATTTTCAATGGGGCATAAAAAATATTTCTGCAGTATCATATTAAAACATTTAAACTCTTTCAGCAGTGATTGGGATTCCAAAAAAAGTTCAAAAAAGTTGTCTCAAATTTGAGCAGTTTTGGTCTGAACTTTTCCGTCTTTTAGACTAAATGACACAAAGTTCTTTAAGAATCTCAATACTCAATACAATTCTAATTCGATTTTTATATTAATTGAGCTATTATGACATCTGATGTTCGTAGCATTTTCACAAATTTGAGCAGTTTTGGTCTGAACTTTTCCGTTTTTTAGACTAAATGACACAAAGTTCTTTAAGAATCTCAATACTCAATACAATTCTAATTCGATTTTTATATTAATTGAGCTATTATGACATCTGATGTTCGTAGCATTTTCACAAATTTGAGCAGTTTTGGTCTGAACTTTTCCGTTTTTTAGACTAAATGACACAAAGTTCTTCTTTAAGAATCTCAATACTCAATACAATTCTAATTCGATTTTTATATTAATTGAGCTATTATGACATCTGATGTTCGTAGCATTTTCACAAATTTGAGCAGTTTTGGTCTGAACTTTTCCGTTTTTTAGACTAAATGACACAAAGTTCTTTAAGAATCTCAATACTCAATACAATTCTAATTCGATTTTTATATTAATTGAGCTATTATGACATCTGATGTTCGTAGCATTTTCACAAATTTGAGCAGTTTTGGTCTGAACTTTTCCGTTTTTTAGACTAAATGACACAAAGTTCTTCTTTAATAATCTCAATACTCAATACAATTCTAATTCGATTTTTATATTAATTGAGCTATTATGACATCTGATGTTCGTAGCATTTTCACAAATTTGAGCAGTTTTGGTCTGAACTTTTCCGTTTTTTAGACTAAATGACACAAAGTTCTTTAAGAATCTCAATACTCAATACAATTCTAATTCGATTTTTATATTAATTGAGCTATTATGACATCTGATGTTCGTAGCATTTTCACAAATTTGAGCAGTTTTGGTCTGAACTTTTCCGTTTTTTAGACTAAATGACACAAAGTTCTTCTTTAAGAATCTCAATACTCAATACAATTCTAATTCGATTTTTATATTAATTGAGCTATTATGACATCTGATGTTCGTAGCATTTTCACAAATTTGAGCAGTTTTGGTCTGAACTTTTCCGTTTTTTAGACTAAATGACACAAAGTTCTTTAAGAATCTCAATACTCAATACAATTCTAATTCGATTTTTATATTAATTGAGCTATTATGACATCTGATGTTCGTAGCATTTTCACAAATTTGAGCAGTTTTGGTCTGAACTTTTCCGTTTTTTAGACTAAATGACACAAAGTTCTTCTTTAAGAATCTCAATACTCAATACAATTCTAATTCGATTTTTATATTAATTGAGCTATTATGACATCTGATGTTCGTAGCATTTTCACAAATTTGAGCAGTTTTGGTCTGAACTTTTCCGTTTTTTAGACTAAATGACACAAAGTTCTTTAAGAATCTCAATACTCAATACAATTCTAATTCGATTTTTATATTAATTGAGCTATTATGACATCTGATGTTCGTAGCATTTTCACAAATTTGAGCAGTTTTGGTCTGAACTTTTCCGTTTTTTAGACTAAATGACACAAAGTTCTTCTTTAAGAATCTCAATACTCAATACAATTCTAATTCGATTTTTATATTAATTGAGCTATTATGACATCTGATGTTCGTAGCATTTTCACAAATTTGAGCAGTTTTGGTCTGAACTTTTCTGTTTTTTAGACTAAATGACACAAAGTTCTTCTTTAAGAATCTCAATACTCAATACAATTCTAATTCGATTTTTATATTAATTGAGCTATTATGACATCTGATGTTCGTAGCATGTTATCTAATTCAATGCTCCTCACTAAAAACAACAGCAATTTTTTAAAATCTTTATCCAATTCTTGAAGCTTGTGCCATTGTTAAGAAATTAATAAGTAGATCACTAGCTACCGTGCGGCGTGGGCTACTTGAAGGCGTAGAAAACTTCCCGAGCCAAAGATCCTTCAAATAAAAATATGCCTAATGCTTTAAAAAAAAAGTGATACCAAAATAAATTGCAATATTTTGAGAAAATGTAATCTAATTTTGACAAGCTTCTAATTGACGATTGCATGACCATGCTTATACTACCAAACAACTGCTGGAAATGATTTGAAGTGAGACAATCTCAAGCACAATCAATTCGCGACATTCTTTGTGAATACAAACAAGTATTTTACAAAATATAGCCCATTTTCAAAACTATACAACCCAAATTATTCGCATAATCATACAAGACTTCAAAATATAGACATATTAATACTCAGCACCAAAAAGAGTTGATGAAAAACCAATATTTGGTTTCTTACGTCACATATAGAAAGTTGCAAAAACCGGACCAAAAAATTACTAAATTATAGATCAAGGTCGTCTTGCAAATATAAAATCCACTTCAAAACATCCCACTCATTTGATGAAGTCGTTATTCGCTAAAGAAAATAGTGCAAATAGTCGAATACTTTCTACTTATAGATTCAAAACTCTGAACTCAATGCACATTTTCTCTGCTTAGCAGTTGAAAGATTTATTTTATCACAAATTTGTGGTAAGAAAAGAAGGATGTTTTGAATTACAGGTTCAATATCTTTAAATGGCAAACATTTTCGAGCTGAAATAGAAAAATTTCATGTATGGGATCTAGTTGTTTTATCCGGCGCTTTTCCACTTTTCCATCCATCGTAAATTTACAAAAATTACAACTCGCCCCTTGTTAAAAAGTGAAGTTGTTAAAAAATTGCTCACTTGTTTACGCTGGCACTTTGAAGCATCACAATTTTTTTTTGGATAGGCTTTTTAAAATCGAATTGCAGAAAAAATCGAAGATGGGAAGAACTAGAAAAGAATCCTTCACCCTCTTTTACACGCTGATCGAAGTACAATGCAACAGAAAAATTCAAGTCAAGAAGCTGAAGAAAAGCAATAGAATATCAATCCGGGGTTTCAATATTTAAGTAGAATTAAATTTACATTCGGCAGCAAAATCGAATACAGTCTATACCAAACATTCACCACGTGAGGTACAATAATTGCACAATAGATTTGAAAAACTGTAGAGAAGACAGAATACTTTCTGCAAGCAAACATTGGATTTTTCCTCTTCCACCGTCCTAAATTGAACTTTGACTTGATTGTGAGCCAAGAAAAAAATTCGTATAAAAAATAGGTTGATTAATTTTGATGTTTATTTAAATTAATACGGTCATTAACTAAGGCCAAACTTTAAGAGAGCAATAAAAGAAAACGTATTTCGCATCAAAACGACGCAGATATGACCCAAAAAGAAGATTTTCGCTTAGTAGAACCTCATAACGTTTTGATGTGCGGTGGAAGGAAAAAAATGTCTTTTTCAATTCATAGCCTCCAAATTTTGACATCCCAATCTCCCGAAGCACTGAACAGACAGTTCGAATTACTCGCAAATGCATGCACGTGTGCTTTATGTGCCTTCAACTCTCCAAGAAGCTTCAATTTTTCACAGTCCCACACTTTCATTTCTCCCGACCTGCACCCGCTGACAAGATACGGAACACTGCCAGAATCATGAGAAGCTGCAACGTTCGGGAACATTGTCAACGCCGTGATCCAATGGTTATGAGCACTCGAAACGGAAGCGACATTATGGCACGTTTCTATACTTGACACATCCCATTGTTTAATGCAACTATCTCGCCCTGAAGAGTAAAGCCAGTTATTGTATATACACATGCTCTCAACGCCGTCGAAATGCGGAGGTTCCAGACTTCTACATATACCTTCTAACTCCAATATGGCTTCGCAGCATTTGACACTGTGATCTCGGGAACCTGTGAAAACTAAATCGGGTCCTCCTTTTATGCAATTTTTGACAGCTAGAACGTTAATGGCAGCGGAATGTGACTGACTTGGAACTAGTTGGATACTTTTGAGCGCTCCTGGTAAATGTCTTAAATCCCATATGCGAATGAAATTCCTCGAAACCGAATAAAGTAGATTGCCACAAGAGCTGAAAGCAACGTCGTTGATTTGATCCTCGCCTTGGGGTATTTTTGTAGTTTGGGCGCTGGGGTAGTCTAGACGCTCGTATGAACCGCCACTAGACTTTAGAGTCTTCAGACATCCGGGATCAGAATTCTTTTGCAAGGGATCCAAAACCTTGATGACATGCAGAGAAGCTGCGAACAGCAAATTCCTCGATTTATGATACTTCACCTGAAGAACCGAATGAGGAAACCCTGTAATTGAGAGGAGTTCTCCTCCTTCGTTCAAGTCCCAGACTTTTACAGTTCGGTCCAGTGACCCTGTGAAGAGATGAGTTTCAGTGGCATCAACTGAAACAACTCCCTTTTTATGACCTTCAGCCACATGATGACACTTCAGTGGGAAGTTCGCAGCACCAGCTATGGCACCTCGGTAGCCATTAATAGTCCCTACTTCAGTTTTATTTTCTCCGTCCAGGTCGACGCGAGGTACACTCTTCAGAAGACGAGTGAAAACATCCGAGTTATCTGATCTAGCTGCGCCTAATCTAAATGAATTGGATCGCGAGAGGTTCCCATTTTCACCCGAATCACCTGAACTTCTGCGGCTTGAATTGTTAGTGTTAGAAGTCGCTTCTTTTCTTGGACTCTCGGGAAGCGTGGAGAGATCTTCATTGCTCAGAAGTTTGATTCCAAACTTGTCCATCAAGGGAGTCCCGCTCACTAGAAACGTCTCAGACGCTGAAATACTCTGGCCAGTAGCTTGAGAGGAAGACTCTGAAGTTTGGTTTAAATTGGATTCGTCACTTTGAAACCGTGCACTTTTATTGCCTCGTCTTCTTGTGGTCACTGTTTCCGGTAAACTGAATCCCATTGGGGAGGGAACTCTTTGATGTTGCTGGTGCTGTTCTGACATCGTCGCACTTTGGACTAAATCAGGCGCGTCTTTAATAAACGTGCAGTTCATTTGTTCTTGTACAGGCGAAGCTGCTAGTCTAATTCTAGTATCGCTACCACCGTCATCGTCGTCCAGAATCACGAAGTCCAACAACTGTTGCTGGATGGTTTTATTTATTTCCTCCTCTCCAATTTGGGCTTCTAGTTCTCTTATTTTCGCCTGGTCCTCTTTCAATTGGACACTTCGTTCAACTGTGAAAGTTAATAATTGTTGCAGGAGTGACTTGCAATGTTTTACGTCCATAGATTCGACGTCAATTTGAGCAAACTTCGAGTTTTCAGTCGCCGAATTTAGAGTCACGATTGCGGCCTGCTTTTCCTCAATTCTTTCTTGCGCTTCTTCGATCGAACATTTAACAACTTCCAATTCTTCTAGCAGATGATTCAACTTCTTCGAGTCTTTCAGCAACTTAGCAGATGTTATTTTTTTGGCCAAAATCTGTTTTTCCGAATTCCACCTCTCTCGCTCTTTCATATGATCTTCCATTTCTTTTTCCAAATAAGCGACTGAATAACAATTTTCAACGTGACTCTCCATCATAGTACTAAACTTTTCCCAGTTTAGCTTAGAAGCGGTCAATGAGCTTCTTTTTCTGGATCTAAATGTCGAGTTGTTGCGGGTGGCCAAGCTTTTCTCACTTTGATCAATTTTATTTTCCAATGTTTTTCCATACTTGGACGAATTTGCAGTAGAATTAATTGTCTTGTCGTTCGCTTTTCGGCTTTCTGAGCGAGACTTTGTCACTCGGCCAGCTGCTTTGTCCGACATTTCGCCCTTCTTAGTTTTCCTCAAAACGTCCATTTCTTGTAGTTTTCTCTGTAAAATCACGTTTTTCTGCTGGTTTTCAATTTCTAGTGATTTAATTTTATTATCTTTCAGACGCTCTTGTTTTTTCAACTGCGCGACTTCTTTTCTTTGTGTTTGTTCTTTTTCTCTGTGACGTTTGCTTTCTTCTTTCATTTGACGAACTAATTTTGCCTTGTCGTCTCGCATTTTTTCAACATCAGTTTTCAAGGACAAAATTCGTTCCTCGTTTCTTTTCAGTTCATTCATATGTTGTTTGTTCACTTTTTCAAAACTTTTCAGCTTTTTCATTTCTTTTTCTAAATTCGAAACTTTTTGCTTGTACTCCTTTTTAATTTTTTCCAAATCTTCGCCTGATTTCTGAGAACCGTCTGCATTTTTCATATCATTTTGTTTGGCTTCTTCCATTGAATTCATTTTCATTTGCAATTCTCTAAATTTCTGGTCATAACCCTGCTTCATATTATTTAAAGCCACTTGCGATTTTTCCAGCTGCAGGATCAATTTTTCCTTCACAGATATTTCCTGAGTTATGTACGCAATATCAGCAACTCTCAAATCTTCAGAATCATCATTTTCCAAATCAGATTCATCATTATCGGAAGTTTCGTTTCCCGAGTTGTTCTCATCGTCATTTTCATTTTCGTCTTCGATGCTTGACTTTAACTCCGAAATTTCACTCAGAGTTTCCGCGTTGGATCTTTCGTCACATGACACGGAACTAGCTCGTTTTTCCGACGACTTTTCCTTTCCCGATGAAACTTTATTCCGCTTTCGGCGTTCCGGACGCGTAGTTGTGACATCTCCCGAAGTTTGATTTGTTCTCGAAGTTGCCAGCACTTCTTTCTTTTCGGCCAAGTCAGCTTCGGCTTGAGCGATTAGTTCACTCAAGTCTTTCTCATAACTCGACACGTCAATAGGCGGTATCGAAACCGACGGTTCAGCATTCCGAACAGATGACTTATTGGGCCTCGAAACAGATTTACTTGTAGATAATAAGCTTCGAGATTTGTTTTGAATAGGAAACTCAGTTTTTAAATTTGCTATTTCTTTTCGATATTTCGAGTTTTCAATTTCCAATTCAGTAACTTTGGATTTAACTGATTCCATTTCGCTCATATATTGTGCAATCAAATCGTCAACTGAATTTTCACTATTGCTCCCTGAATTCGAGCTTCGAACGCGCGATAAATCCCTTTCAGTTTTTAAAACGCTGATTTCTTGGGTTTTTGACTCAATAGTAGCTTGCAACGTTTTAATTTTATCTCTCAAACTATCTTGTTCCCTCAAAAGGAGCCTGTTTTCATCGCTCATATCGTTCATGAAGCAAACATCCGCGGTCAATTTTCCCTGCTTGTATTTAAGCAACTCGCTTTCAAGTTCTGCTATTCGATTTTTCAGATCACTTATTTGTTTGCTCGCTTTGTCCTGGTTAACTGAAGGTTTGTTTTTGATGTTTTTCGCTCGATTAGCGTACACTAAAGTATTCAAGGTCTCCATGAAATCTCGATCGGAGGGACTCACACAAGCAATCATCATTGTTCTGCTGTTACCTCCTAAAGAATCTTGTAGAAGTCTTGTCAACTTTGAGTTCCTGTAAGGAACATGTGAGCCTCGTTTTGTAGCATCGCCAAGAGCACTTATCACATTTCCGAGGGCTAGAAGCCCACAGTTGATTGCTATTCCTTCTTTAGCTCTATCTCCTGTAGCTCCTGTTCGCTTTAGTCTTTCGGATCCCGCGAGGTCCACAAAATGAAATTTAGCGGTCAAAGTTTCGAAATCAAGCGAGTCCGATTGTAGCTCTTTTTCAGCTGTTTCGTCTTCATTTTTTAGAACTCTTTGCTGTTTTACAGTTATTGTAAAAATAGCGTGACTTCTAGACGAAGTTGCATTCATGTTTGTCGAGGCTGTCACCCGGTTTAGAGATCCAATTTCCAGACATTTCAGACAATCTTCAACATTATTGACAGGCCTTGTCGAAGCGCCGCTGACATAAATCATACTTCCTTCTCCGTGTATTTTAATCAGGCCTTTCGCTCCCGTTTTATCCGCAGGTATCAATAGATCGTTCATGTCTTCATTATACAGTTCTAAAAACTGGGCGCTGATTTTAAAATCAGGAGGCGTGATACCCTTTTCTTCAGATTCCAATTTTGAATTCAAGATCTGATCAAATAGTCTGTTCACAGCGCGAGGTATTATCCCCGTGTTTTCGTTCGTCGGACTTTCGTTCCAAGCAGTTCCCATCGTGTATGTTTTACCCGAGCCTGTCTGCCCGTAGGCCAAAATAGTCGCATTATATCCATGTAGGGTTCCGTCAACTAAGTTTGCCACAGACTTGTCAAATATTTCACCTTGTTTTGCTTCAATGTCAAATACAAGGTCAAACGTGAACAACTTGTCGCTGCCAATTGCAATCTGCGACTCCTCAGGAATAACTGCTGTGCATTTTTTAAGTCCTTCGTTTATTTCTGATGAGCTTTGTGGTCGGACTCGCACTGCAACTTGAACATTGGTTTCATTTGGAAGAGATGGCATAATATTCTAATCTGAAAAGAGATTATTATTTTGGCTAAGTTCAACAAAGAAAAGCCAAAAAAGCGTAGTTTTGTCTATATAATTTTAAAAATCATAGCAATGCCCATCGCCCATTTTTTTATTACCTTTTTCAATAAGAATTGTGTTTCGCAGCTGATTATAAAAATATATCAAAATATACCAAAAAAAAATATTTACGTTTTTCTCAACTTCGTAACATTTTTCTGTAACTTGCACACCAGCGATGAAAAACAAAATTAACTTTTAAATTTTTCAAGCTCCAGCACTCTAGGGCGAGAGCGATGCGTTAGTTACGTACAACATCAACAGTTACCCGTTCGTTAGATAATAGTTTAAAACGCGGCTAGTTTTTCAATCAAAAAAGGAACAAATTTTACCGCAATTTATACAGTAGTTGACCAAAACATACTGTAGTTGAAATATTAGCGCTTAAATTTGCTTGCACAGCTCGACTGGAGGTCACTCGAAATTTGACAATGGGTAACTAACCTAGTCAGAAATCATGTGTGAACAAAAACGGAAAGATTTTCGAAAATTTACAAATCAGGATTAACTTTTTGTCAGATTGAAATAATCAGCGGGAGTTTAAATTTGCTGTTTAAATTTGCAGCAGTTGTTTAAAGGACTATAGATCACATTTTATGGGCAAGGTTCAATAAACATTTTAAAAAAAATTCAATTCATCAAAAAAAAATTCTGAAACTGAGAAAGAAAAATAGCGAAACATTTTCATTCGTTCAATTTTTCGTCAATTGTAAGAATATAAAGTAATAACAAATGCAAGGATAGCCGTTTACCGTGCAACTAGCCCAGAATGTTCCAACCCTTTTCAAATTTTTTTGCAGTTATTAGAATTTTTTAAGTTTTTGATTCCAGAATACTCCAAAAAAAATAACGTTACTCGAGTAAAACAAAGTTTTTACATTTTAAATTAGGCTATTGCAATCTTTTAAGCTATTGAAATTGAAACTAAGCTATTGTAAGCCTGCTTGAATCAAAACTTTTGCTGTCTGCTGGCTCTTGAAAATTCATTAACACTGCCATCAGATAACGTAGCAACAAATGCTAATAAATTTCCAATGCGATGTAGCAAAAGTTGCAGTAAATACAAATAGACACAAGTTTGCATGTAATAATTTGGAATATAACAACCTGAAGGCATCCACGCTAACTTTGCATGTAATAAAATGAAAACATAAAGCCAAATTATGCACAAAAAAATGCATTTCAAAAAAATAGCGAGATATATTGAAATGGAAAATTTCTGAAATAGAGTTTTTTTATCGTACTGTTGTTTGATTTTAAGAAACAGCTTTTTTCGGTTCATTTGATCAATGAAAAATGCATCAGCTGTGTTAACTTATTACTTATCGAATGCCAATCAAAGCACGCTACCAAAAAGCCGTAGAGGTGCAACAAAAAGTGACACAAGTATTCGCTACTTAGGTTGGAAAAAAAAGAAGAGTCGTACTATTACACTACGCTTGCTTAAGTTTGCTAATGCAATTATGCCGTATATAAACCGAAAAACACAAGATTTTTAGAATAATCGAATTGAAAGATTAATTTATACAGCCGAAAGATGGGCACCGATTGCGAAATGAAGTTAATTCAAATGTACTTACAAGAGCAGTCCGTTGCAGTACAAGTGGCACAGACTGTTACAACCATGGTAAACAATGCATTGAAGAAAAAAAAATCAACAAGTAAGCGTAGCGGAGCTTCGCATCACCTGGTATACCACACAAACTTAGCATTGTAAGCTAGCCGACATAGCATGAGATGGAAGCCATGAAGTCCATAAAAGATTAACATTCCAAGTGAAAATCACAAAGAAATCGAAATCAGAACCTTCGTACCAAGCACAGGCGTTTCAGCTAGACCAAGTGTGCCGAAGATAGGGAATTTAAACTTTAAAAAAGTAGAAATTCAAAATGATTCGATGATTCTGATGGAAAAATTGTTTACACGGAAAAAGTCTTATTTCAAGATGACGACGCTTGCTAATAGCCAGCATTTAAATATTCATGTGTCGAATTTTCTTTATCCTTTGTTACCTTTCTCCTAGGTAACACGAGTTGGTTTGAATCAAGCTTAGAAAAGGAAAAAACTATCCTGTAAATATTACAATAAAAGCCGCTCTAACATAGTGAAAAGTTATTTGTTAACTCGCCCTCTATCAATCTGAAAACATATTCAGACCTGTTTCTCTTGACACAAAACTTTTTGAGATCATGATTTAGTATGATACCACACATGACCACCTACGAAACTTTTTTGAGATAACTTTCCCCAACAGTAATTAGTGATCAGTTTGAACTTTTTTGCAAAAGTTCAGCAACTTCTCATTGTTCGGAGCTCTCAAAATCAGTGGCCATGAGTAAAATATTCGTTTGATTTCCTGTCAAGCTTTAAGACCATCACTTTTTTTGACAAAACAGATTTTAAAAAACTTAAATTTATAACTAGCTTAATCAGTGTTTTGTTAAATGTTACTAGAATAGTGTAAACTCTACGAGGGAGTTTAAAACTCCCTTTACCTATCCTCTCGTTTATCTAAACGTCATTGTTGATACCATGCTTTATACTTCCTTCGAGAAATAAATTCTTACTTTCTTTCTAGCTTAAACGAAACTCCCGATTCCCATTCATCCCACGAAAAAATATACCCCATGTATTTATATTTCTCTTCATTGAAATCGTGATTTTTTTCAGTTAGCTAAGCATTGAATTGAAAGCCTTTAGACAAATCCCCAATAAATCTATTAAAAAAGTCCCTCAAGGAACTTGAATGATTTACAGCTAAGGTTGAAATACTTGACCAGAAGGCTTAGAGGCTCAGCTTCTTGTCTCAATGCGCATTGATAAATTTTCTTCAGATCACTCTCCTATACTGGTCATTTCATTTTGAAATGGTTACTACCGTCAACGCTTCTATCCAACGCATTTTTGTGACTTAAAAAATCAATGACGTGCATCAAATTACCTTTTAGTTCCTCACTATGTGATAAGGAAAATATCTACATTTTACATTTCCTTGAAACAAGTAATGGAGTCCAAATAAACGGTTCAGAACAAAAATTGTTGCCGCTAAAATTGTTGATAAGGATCAAAAATACAGATACGAAAATAGTTGATGTTTGACAGCCTCGTTTTAAAATCAACTAGAACCAACTAGATTTCCCCAATTTTATCATTGCAATCAACGGCGTCACTTTAAAAACAAAAGACATTTGCTTAGAATTTTATTCTAAATTTTAGGACGAGATAAACAATACATACCACAAGTTACACACAGGATCTATCACCGTAGATACTGCACTACTTTCAAATTCTGGTTAGGCAGTGCGACAAACTGACAAGACGCAGTAGTGTACATATAATAAATCCATAAATTAAATGGAAATTCATAAATAATTATTCATTTATAAAACTCCATTAAATGATTACAATGAAACACTAAAATTCAATGTATTTGGAATGAAAATTTGGCCAAAAAACATGGCTTGTTAAATATATAGCATTTTAATGATGAAATGCACAGTAAAGGCAACGGCAAATGGGCAACAAAAAACTGATGACTTCAGATGAGAATGTCCCAAAATGATTTCGATTTCCACTCGTCGCTGACTCTCAGATGAATTTTATTTCGACTTTTTATTGTTCTCTTTATTTTTAACCTCGTTTCTACGTTTATAGCACGACTGGGCCATCGAATTCACAATTGAAACGACAAAGTATAGCACCATTGCTAGTACCAGTTTGTCAAACACCCAAGACAACCAGCTTTGTTTTGCCACAAACGCCGCGCTTCCCGCTTTTCTATGCAATTTCTGCTTCTCATTCGCAAAGAACTCTTGAAACGGTGCCTGTAATTTAGGTCCTAGATAAGGAATTTTTCCAATCAGCTGCACAAAATGCTCCGCATGATGTTCACTGAAACTCATTATCACAAATACTTTCTGTATATGCATTTTCACGATGGCTTTTCCTATCGCAGTTGCGCCGAAAAACTGCCAAAATGGAACCAAAAGGTATCCACATGTTATGCCAGCGAGGTCAAAGAGCGGATTCGGAATGGACGCCATCAGAAGGATTCCAGGGAAGCCAACTTTCTCAATCAATCTTTCAACTTGTATTTTACATCTAACTGAAAATGCAACCTGATCCGGTCTTGCGTCGGCAAGTTTTCTCAATTCTTCCAATTCAACCAGTTCGGCGTCCAGATCTTGAGTTCCAGAAAGTCGGGCTGCTCTGGCCATAAAGTATGGAGGTAGTTCGCCTAATGCTGTTCCAAGGCCCCACATGAAGGCTTCCAGTCTAACTTTGGACAAGATCTTCCATATTGTCATAGGAACCTCCGGCACGTGATCAGGGCAATTGATTTCCGTTGGATACGGCGGGCTTGGGAAATCGACCGAATTGCACTCGAATGCAGCAAGAGTTACAGATGCTATATGCGGTCCAAGGTATAACAAAAAAGTATGCAGGCCCGTTCCCAAACCAACTGAAGATAAAATTCCTAGAAAAATCCAGTAGAAACACAAATTGAAATTTTCCTTGACAACTGTAAAGACTGCTTGATGCCTACCAGGCATTCGATCCAGGGAAAAGAAAACAGAGAAAAGTGATAAAAAGATTAGTACCGTTAATTTATGCAACCATAAATACTGCAACATATCTTTACTCTTTTCATAACAGTCTAAGGCGAAGTAAAACAATGTTGTAAAAGGATGTGACCAAATGGCAATGGTATCCTCGGCTTCACTGGATTTCCCTTTTTTCTTCGCAGTTCGTTTCTCAGATTTCTTACTTGCTTTAGATGGCGTACCCGGTTCATTCGAAGTGATGTGATGACCGTTTGCCATTGGTTTCTCGGATACTGCTGAATTTATTTGAGGTGATTTGACTTGCTTTTGATTGTCATTGCCGCCCGCAGAGGTCCGCTTCTTCTTCGGAGAATCAACAGATGGATTCTGTCTGGAACTGCTAGTACTGCGTCTTCGCAAATTATAACTTGAATCTTGCGAGTTAGATCGGCCCGATGTTGTTTTCGTTTGCATAGAGATGGATTCCGTTCTTGTAGCGCGCCGCAAGAATTCTGCGGTCACATCAGGATGATTTCTGATAATATTTACCAATTCTTCTCGCTTCGATCTCTTTCTAAAGCTCTGACCAAGTGAGGAGAGAACATCTTTCACTTCTGAAAGTGTCATATCTTCCAATACTGCTTCAAATAACTCTTTTCTATTCATTTTAACTGGACTCTCCACATGATTTTTCCGTTGATCAATTTTCTGGTTAACCATCACAATCTTAAGTTGTAAAATATCTTACGGTCAAAGCTGTCAGCGCTTACATTTATATAAATCATAAATAAACAGAAAAAAAAACAGGACAACAACACAAGTTAAGAATTTATTCAACGATTACAAGAAATTAAAATATAAGCTCAGATACGTAGGTCCTATATACCATTAAGATTACTAATCCGTATATTTTTAACAAGACTGCTCGCATCACGGCGAATCTCTTAAAGTTCCAACTGCGCTTTAACCTCCCGTCCGGGTGAATAAATTTTCAGTTAAACAAACGACAAAATGTACGAGAGAAAGTATGTACTTTTTTGATTTTTCATTCTCTCTTAAATGTATTCTCACTTTAAGCAGCACCTATATATTTGCAATTTGGCTACTGAAGCTTTCTTACATAGCGTAAAGGGAGAATATAGTTGGAGAAATTTAATTTCAGAAAAATAATTACGAACTTACAGAAAAATAAAAGTAGGGTTTAAGAATTACTATTTATCTCTATTAAGGGATGAATACCTTGTGACCACCTATTGTCAGCTGTCATGGAAAGATTTTAAAATTATTTGAGTTTTTCTCTAATTTCATTCGTAATATTTTGATATTGCTATGATTTGTTTGATAACAATGCAAACCAAAGTAAAAAAACAAAGCAAAAGAAAGTAAGAAAGAGAAAGAATAGAATAAAAGGATATTTCTCGTCAGAATACTCTGATACAAAGAAATAAGGCCGTTACAGGCGTAAGGTAAGGTAATGCTATGATTAATTAATTATGTGAAATTATGTAGAAATAAAACTAGAATTGACTTACACTTGCACACTTGCCTCTCGGAATTTATTTCAATTTGCTAATAAAGGACGAAGAACAAAAAACATAAAAAAATCTCAGAAATTTACAGGAAAATGTTATTAATGATTACGTAATTTATTATGTAATTACAGGGGTGCCGGACATCAAGCCGACGGGACTTCAAGCCGAATCGTAAAATAAGGGACTTCAAGCCGAAGCTAAATTCAATTCATGACAGAGATTTGAGAGCCGAATAGTTTTTTTTTCTTTTCTTTTCTTTTTTATTTTGCTAAAGGTAATCAGAAGGTCATAGGTATCATAGTAACCGAGGTTACAGTCAGGGGTCTTTTCTTCACGTATTCCAGTCAAAATCCTTGGAATTTTCTAGATATGGTAGTGATAATGATAAAAGAAGATGACAAGTGTTTAAGTCCTTTTCAATTAAAACCGATACGGGTTACGTTTGTGACATTCGACCAGAATGGAAAAAATGCAATCTCTGCAGATTTCGAATTTTTAGCAGCGAGCCTTCCGAGTTAGTGATTTTGAAGGATTAAGAACGTTATTCGAACGATTGAACAAAACGTGAAGGTTGAAGGATTCGGAAATTGCTAAATTTTAAATTTTCGAAGTGATTACGTAACATTTCTTAGAAACGTCAGAAACGGCCATTTTGGCAGAAAAGCTGAAAAGCGACAGAATAACGATAGCCGCACTGACGAAAACAACGAAGATTGTGATAGAAGAACAACAGAGAAAAACAGAAGGACGTTCCGAGTTGCAACTATTGTGTCGCTACAATAGTTGCAAGGCCGTTGCAGACAACGGTGAAGGGTGGAAGATAGCCTTCCGGATTACGAAGAAGTCAAGATTAACGAGCTTGATTCAGTGGATTCAAGAATCCGGAAGGGTTTCGGAACTGGAACTTTTATTCTTTTATATAATTTTTTAGCTTCTTGTCATGTCCTGAATTGAATTTAATTAACAACTGGATTCATTTTGATAAGGATGAGAAGCTAGGAGTTGGGGGAAAGGGTTGATCCATCTTCGATGGAGATGATGATTTTTATCTACTGAACAAAAACAATAATAATTCAATAAATAGTAATAGCCCTGTTTTTAGGAGTGACCTCGTGGTCTGGGGATACTGAGACCCAGCCATGAGCTCACTATTTCTGCATGTAATCTAGTTAATTTGAGTGTTTTGACCGAAGCCGAAAGCAGTAACGTTTTTGTCGACCCGATGTTAGAAAAGACCACCAAAATTACTGGCTTGGTAGAGACGGTGAAAAGCATATAAAGCTCTGCTTAGACGTTAGCCAGTCGACTTAGGACTTAGTTTTATTTTCCGTCGATATGTATCTTCCGGGCGAATGTTACATACATGTTTTTATGGCGCTCCTGGGTGTTATTCTTTTTAACATCATGACCGGCAGAACCGTTAACGAGCACTCCGCGCCGAGCGGTGTGACATTCGACCAGAATGGCCAAAATGCAATTTATGCAGACTTCGAATTTTTAGCAGTAAGCCTTCCGAGTTGATGATTTCGAAGGATTAACGACGTTATTCGGATGATTGGCAGAACGGTGAAGGTCAGGATATTCCCGTATTTTAAAATTTTAAATTTTCGAAGAGATGACGTAACATTTCTGAGAAACGTCAGAAACGGCCATTTTAGAAAAAGAACTAAGAAAAACAGAACAACTTTATCTGTGATTGCGAACAGAACGAAAATCGAGATTAAAGAAAAACGACAACGAACTACAATAGCAGAGAACGTTCCAAGTTGCAACTATTATGCTGCTACAATAGTTGCAAGGCCGTTGCCGACAACGGTGAAGGGTGAGAACCAGCCTTCCGGATTGGTGTGAAGTTGAACTTAAGGAGCTTGATTCACTGGATTCAAGAATCCGGAAGGGTTTCGGGACTGGAACTTTTAGCCTTTTATATAAACTTTTAGCTTCTTGTCATGTCCTGAATTGAATTTAATTAACAACTGGATTCATTTTGATAAGGATGAGAAGCTAGGTGTTGGGGGGAAAGGGTTGATCCATCTTTGATGGAGATGATGGTTTTTATCTGCTGAACAAAACAATAGTAATATAATAAGTAGTAGCCCTGTTTTTAGGAGTGACCTCGTGGTCTGGGGATACTGAGACCCAGCCATGAGCTCACTATTTTTGCATGTAATTCAGTTAATTTGAGCGTTCTGGTCGAAGCCGGAGAGCAGTAACGTTTTTGTCGACCCGATGTAAGAAAGACCACCGAAAAGTACTGGCTTGGTAGAGACGGTGAAAAACATGCAAAGCTCTGTTTAGACGCTAGCCAGTCGTCTTAAGACTTAGTTTTGTTATCCGTCGATATGTATCTTCCGGGCGAATGTTACATGTATGTTTTTATGGCGCTCCTGGGTATTATTCTTTCATAACATCATGACCGGCGGAACCGTTAACGAGCACTCCGCGCCGAGCGGATGCTCACATTATCGCCCTTAATAGGCCTAAACTGCCGGGGCGGAAGGGTAGTTCGGAACGCAGAAGCCTTCCGGATTACCGTGAATAGTTTTTTAACCTAGTTAAGACCGAAAATTCACGAACCAGGAAGGGTGGGGGGAATCATGAACCCCTCATCCCCTGAGTGGTTTGTGACCAAAAACACTTAAAGATATAAGTAAAACCAAACAAAAAATAGTATAGTAACCAAGAAAAACAAAAAACATAAAAAATAACCGAAAAAACCAAAAACAGTAAAAAAGTAAAAAATCAGTAGAAATCATCCCCCCAGACAAGATGTGATTCAACCCCCCCGTTTGTTGTTGATATATATATTGTTGTTACAGGCATTTATATCAGTCAGGATTGTTACGATCAATTTTGTGGCCCGTTTGTGAGGCTTGTACTGTAGGGTTATTTGAGCATTTAAGCACGTTAATGATAAATTGCGCTCAATCCGGAAGGGTCAGCTTATTTGCGCTCAATTCGGAAGGGTCCTGGGTGAAGACCGATCCGGCAAGCAGTACAAGGAGCAACAAGAAGGGGCTCAACGACAACAACAATCGACTGTTGGGTATCGTTAACAAGTTTTGTATCCCTTTTGGTACAAAAAGTAAGATAGTAATCTGTGGGGGGCTCGACAGTGCTGCACTGTAGTGACCCTTCACCGAACTGCGAATATCCGAGTTAAGCACCTTAATTCGGATAATAAACAAACCCGGAGGGGTATAGTATCACTAATATTATTTTTTATATAGCCTATATTAATAGTCTTATATCGTTTTTCAGTGAAAAACAACGAAAACAGACCGGTTTTTAGGGTCAAAATAGCGATATTTTGATCCCCCCACAAGTCGCGATTTTTGAGACATCGATATTTTTTGAAACGGAAAAAAGCGCTAAGTTAGTGTGTTACATTGTAACTGCACTACTGTAATAGGTAGAACCGGTTAACCTTAGTTCGGAAGTGGTTGGAACTAGTTTGGTACCAAAAACCAAATTTTCCCATTTTTTGATAGTAAGAAACACTATAAAATCAGAAAATTTTTTGAAATCTTTGAGTTAGGACAGTAAAAATAGTTGTTCGGACAACGTCGACTAGTGAATCTACGAGTTTTAAAACCCGCTACCCGAAAGCCTTCCGGGTTGCAGAGAAATCGAACATAACGTGTTTGATTTGGTGGATTCATCAATCCGGAGGGGTCCAGGTAGCATAGTTTTTCGCAAATTTTTTCTACAAAAGCGTTTTAGATCGGGTCTTTTGCATTGAACTAGAAGAGTATAGGCCTTCTGAGCTCAGATCAATAATTTTTAGGTCGAAATGACCAGATTTGCGGAAAAAGTTAGGCGGAACCTATAAGAGAGAAAATTTTTGAGTTTGGAAAAAAGACGTTTTGGTTAATAACTTTGGAACTACAGAGCATATCGAGTCAATCTTGGTACCATTAGATCAGAAATTAGCTGAACTTACTAGCAGGAAAGAGAATTACTCGAAAAAGCGAGCGAGAAAATTTTTTGAGATTGTTTTTAGCAAATTACACAAATCCGGAGGGGTACACCCTTCACGTTTTATAAATTTTTCTGAAAAACCCTTATACCCCTACCAAAAGTTGATAGCGATTGAACTAAGTAACTTAGGACAGTTCTAGACAAAAAGGGAGGGCTGAAGGCACAAGACAACCATAATAGAGTCGAAATTAGGCAAGTGATAAGACCCT